GGCAAATCTGACTTTAGGCTCGTCTCTGTTCTGCTCACTTTTAGCCAATCACTGCTTTTACCTGCCGTCTTTTTTGTCATATATATCATCTTTATTTTGACCTGTTCTGTCTGGATTACGTAAAAAGTCTGCTGCACACATTTGTGTTCGCTGGTGATAAATTCTAATCATCTCAGCAGGTTTTTATCCAAACTGTAGCTTGTCCAATACTTTCTCATTAAGCGTCTGCTTCCCTTCAGCCTCAGCAGCTCGACTAGTTCAGCAGCTCCACGTTCGGATGACTCACTCGATGTCCAGGGTCATGAAGGGGTTGGCTTGCTCTCGGTCCAGCTCGCTGTTATAGAACAGGATCTTCTTACTGCTCACCACCACGTACTGCAAAGCAAAAGGTTCGAAACAGTTAGAGGTGGGGGGGATGACTCAGTGGTAATGGTGAACAAATGTGCAGATATAAGGAATAATAGCTGGTGCGTTACTTTTTTGTCCCAGCCGAACCGCTTGGTGTTCTTGGTAGGAAGTGAAATCCAGCCCTCCAGCCGGGAGTCTAGTAGGAGGAAGAAGAAGAAGAAGAAGCAGAAGAACCTTTAATCATGTGAATCATTTAAAAGAACACTTTGACATTTTTAAGCATCGGTGGCATTTTGCCTCAGGCAGACACTTATCGCTCACACAGGAAATGATTCCTCGCTAAAACCAAAGGGCAAGAGAGACGAGAACTCCTACTCCTTGTTTTAACCAACGTCAGCAGACCAGTCAGTGGAAACTTACAAAAAACAAAACTTTGATTAATAGTTTAGTGAACAAAAACTCCACACACGACGCCGGACAGCATCAAGCTGCGAGCGTCCACGTGTCCGCCGAACGTTAGAAAGGATTAAAGCACAGCAGAGGCAGAGTCAACAGAGAGCAGGGATTAGCTGCAGGCCTGGACCGGGTTATTTCTCTCCATAGCGAGTGAATATGTTCGTGGTTAAAACAACATTTACAAATTGAAGGTATCTGGATGTCGTTTTCTGAAGCGCCATGCAGGGTCACCTCCAGACTCGGGCTCAGAGGGCTGCTCATAGGTCAGGGCCAGCGGACGTCGGCCCTCCTCCTCCTCCTCCTGCCCGTCACACTCCTCTACTTCCTCCTCAGAGTCGGAGTCAAAGAGAGCAGAGCGAAGGTTGGGCCTGGTGTCGATGCACACGGACTTGTGCGTGCGCTGGTAGGTGAAGGACATTGATTCTGAGGTGTGAGAGTGAGTAATGCGCACTGCACCGGGTGGACGTGGAACGAAGAAGGAGGAACGACATGAAAGGAAGAGGCATGATGAGGAAAAAGTGAAAACAAGGAGGGAAAAGAAAGAAGGCAACAAAAAGAAAGAGGAAATGTACGCAGGAGTACGTTTAAATCTGGCTGGAGGTGAAGCGTCTACCTGGGTATCCCTCGCCCATGTCCAGGTCGTTGCCGCTGCTGATGCTGGTGGACTCCAGAGAGTGAACGCTGAGGGAGGTGAGCTGGCAACGGAGCTGCTCCAGGTCGCTGTCTTTGCTGTCCAACGCCATCTGAAGCTCCAGACGCACCTGGTTCTCTTCTGCTATCAGCTGAGCGACAGACACAAAACAGGTTTTTAGCTTTGGCTCAGTTTCT